GCACTTAACCACTAAGCCACGGGGCCGGCCCTGTACTAACTATTTTTATAGCTTACCTTCCACTGTAGAATCATACAAGAGACAACCCCTATGGACATGCAGTACCATCTCCTTAACATTAATTTCAATCCCCTTGTCCCCATTTTCCACAATTAATAGAACCATCTTCTATATAAATTGTGGTAGCATCTTTTTATCTTTGATCTTAAAAGAGTCCACTATAATTAAGTGAATCCCATTTTTAAAATATGTCTATGGATGCTACTAAATCGTTCTTGAGAAAACCATCTTCCAAGATTAAAGATGGTATTCTAACTAGGTATAAGCACATTGTTACACACCTGTAATGTTTCAGTTTTCTCTCTTTCATTCCAACAATTACAGTACTAGAATCTTAGAGTTGCAAGGGCCTTTAGACATTATTTAGTCTTGGCCTGTTACTACTTACTCAATACAGTATCATGTATCACAGATAAGTTAAATTTCATCTCTCAATGCCCCTGATTCAGCCGTCACCAGGAAGAAAACACTGACAGAAACCTGGCATTCAATTTAGAACTCTTAGCTCTTGAGAGAACAAATGCCTTATTTATTTATAGTAAGTAACTCGTCTAAGTTCAAGTCAACACTCTTTGGAAGGCAGAGGGAATCCAGTTGATATTTATTTTCCTTCCAGGTAGGTGTTTAATGCCATTTAATGAGTGAAAGATGGGTTTGATGAATTTAAATTGCCTGTTAGCTGTCTTAGCACATCTACATCCCTGATCCCTCTTATATCTCCATTACTGTTACTTAAAATTTTTATATGTAAATAAATTTTATAGAAATCTTCCTTTTGACTTATTGAAACAAGTCAAAGTGGGCTGCAGTTTTGTCAGTTTTATTTTTGCATAGGAAAACATCAGAATGACTAGTGAGAAGATGAAAATGGTCTCTGTGAATTATCATCTCTTGCCAGTGGTTATTCAGACTCAGAAGTGTAGTATGGGATACTCTCCTCTTAATAATTTGTCTAAAGAAGTGATTCTCAACCAGGGGCAATTTTGCTCTCAAGGGGACATTTAAGAATTTTTGGAGAAATTTTGGAGACCTTTTTGGTTGTCACAACTAGCAAGGGATGGGGGTATATGTTACTGGCATCTAGTAGGGTGCTGCTAAAGATCCTACAATGTACAGGACAGTCCCCTCAACACAGAATTACCCAGCCAAAAGTGTTAATAGTGCTAAGGTTGAGAAACCTTGTTCTAAAGGTTCATTAACAATGAATGTGTGACTAGGTATAATTTCTCATAGTATAATAATTTAGAATTATGCAAGAATAATAGTTAAGGCCCTCTGCATTGGAGGCACGGCCCTTAAACTCTTGAAAAACAGTAAAGAAGTGCATTGTAAGAAATGGTAGTAGTGGGGTATGGCTGAAATAGTATAAAACTTCAAGGAGATTATGGCTTAAATAATAAAAACTTTTGGGAAATCTGTTGTGATATTGAACCAAATGGATTTTCCCATTTCTGAACAGCAAGTTTTTCTATCCAGTTATATCTCAACCACCAAAAAAAGGGAAATGGTTTTCATATTTAGCCCATTTTTACATGTTCCATATCACAGCATACTGCTTATCGCTGTAGAAGAATTATATTTTGACATTTTTTTACCTTACCAAAGGCTGGTTAAATGTTCATTTACCCGTAATGAATACTCTTGACATTTTTCTTGCATGAATCTTTTTTGACAAAAATCAAGACAACTGGATAATAAGTAAACCTTGAAATGCCAAAAACAAAGCCAGTAGCTTGATGATAGAAAGCATGTTACTATTAAGAAAGCCTAAATGGAACACCTAATACAATAAAACTCGTAGAAGAAAACAGGACAAACACTTTATAACACTGGGTTTGGCAATGATTTCTTGGATATGACACAACAGGCACAGGTAACAAAAGAAAAAAATAGACAAATTGGACTTCATGAAAATTTTAAAATTTTGTGCATCAAAGGACACTACCAACAGAGTAAAAAGGCAACCCACAGAATGGGAGAAAATAATTGCAAATCATATATCTGATAAGGGATTAATATCTAGAATATATAGAGAACTCCTAAAACTTCTGAGATCAGACAAGATCGGGCACATTCAGGGTGGTATGGCCTTAGATGAGAACTCCTAAAACTTAACAACAAAAAAACACAACCCAATTCAAAAATGGACAAAGGACTTGAATAGACATTTCTCCGAAGAAGAGATACAAATGGCCAATAAGCACATGAAAAGATGCTCAACATTACTAATCATTAGGGAAGTGCAAATCAAAACTACAATGAGGTATCACCTCACATCCATTAGGATGGCTACTGTCGAAAAAACAGAAAACAAGTGTTGATGAGGACGTGGAGAAATTGAAACTCTTGTACACTGTTGGTGGGAATGTAAAATGGTTCACCCATGGTGGAAAACAGTATGGCAGTTCCTCAAAAAATTAAAAACAGAATTATCATATGATCCAGCAATTCCACTTCTGGGGTATATACCCAAAAGAATTGAAAGCAGAGTCTCAAAGCGATATTTATACACCCATGTTCATAGCAGCATTATCTATAATAGCTAAAATGTGGGAGCAACCAAAGTGTCCACTGATGGATGAATGGCTAAGCAAAATGTATACACATACAATGGAATATTATTCAGCCTTAAAAAGGAAGGAAATTCTGACTCATGCTACAACATGGATGAACCTTGAGGACATTATGCTAAGTGAAATTGGCCAGTCACAAAAACATTTATGTTTTGATGTTTTGATTATGTTTTTGATGATGTATGATTCCACTTATATGCAGTACTTCGAGTAGTCAATATCATAAAGACAGAAAGTATAATGGTGGTTGCCAGGGGCTAGGTTGTGGGGAGAATGGGGAGTTATTGTTTAATGGGTATAGATTTTCAGTTTTACAAGATGAAAAGAGTTATGGGGATGAATGGTGATGATGGTTGCACAACAATGTGAATGTATTTAATACCACTGAACTGTGCACTTAAAAATGGTTAAGATGGTAAATTTTATTGTGTATTTTACCACAATAAAAAATAAAATAAAAAAAAAGAGCCCCTCCCCATGCACACACACAAGTAAGCCTCAGGCAAACACACAGGTTAGTGCTCATGCGTCATCCCTTGCCATCAAGGGTTGCAGAAACAATCCTGCTGTCCCTAATATGCACACCAGTATGAAAACCCACAGAAAAATACGATCAATCACCATGGCAACATACTTCCAATCGTCTTGAATCTGAAAAACAAAACAAAAATCATGAAAGGAAAAACAAGCATGAACGGAAAGGCAGAGAGAACACATTTTCAGTATTGACCATTTAATAAATATGTTGCAGTAGGCAGAAGAAACCCTTCTGCCGCAATATGCAGGAAACCTTTTTTTCTAATTGATGTAGTCTGAGGAAAACTACCATTCTCAAGTTTCCCTTATGACCTAGAGAAATAGCTATAAAACATTTATTTTAAATCAGAAATTTCTTAATATATATAACCTATTTTTTTCTAAACCGAATTCCAATTTATAAAGTTAGTGAAACCACTTACTTGACTTACGCCTCTGTGGGAGGATTCTGGGTCTTTGTTAGAATAGGTAATACAATCCAACATCATTTACCATTGTTTCTAGTTCTTATCCAGTTTTAGATACTAAATTCCTTTTAACATCTGTTCCAAAAATGAAATAAGTACATCAAGGCAAGCCCCTCATCCCTCTTTCTCTCCCAGGGCCCCTCCACAATGCCTAACTAATATCATCTTCAGTTATAAGGCCAGCATATCATGGAATTCTACACAGTTATAGGACAGGCTGAAAATCAGAAGTAATCGCTGACAATGAAGTAGAAGATGGAAGAAAGAGCAAGACTAATTATATATAATACAGCTTCAATTTAGGCTTGAAATAGGAAGGAGAATTGTATGTTAATTATCCTCCTAGACAACTCGGAAAGCAAGGAAGCCATAATTGAATTGAGAAAGAGAGAACGCATGAATCAACTGATTTTGAAGAAATAATCGCATAATAAAGAGGCAGCATGTGATTTAGTAATTTAATTAAGTACACTGAAATGGGGCTGGGAGACGAGGATTTTATTTCACCATTATGGGCTGGATTAAATGTGTCCTCTTGATGACACTAAGAACTCATAGGTAAGATTAGAATTATAATGCGATATTTGCCACAAGGTACTTTATTGAAATTCTAAGATTTTGGTTTGTAAGTGCTTCAAATACACAGTAGACCCTGTGATTCCTACCCACCCCCTGCTGGCTAAACCTACTAAGGCTCTAGGAGGCAGAGAGGTGGAAAAGCAGAGACTTGGAGACAGACTTTGATTATAATCCCAGCACTGTTCCTCTCTCATCGTGAGAATCTGGGTAAATTATGTGACGTCTCTTAGCCTCAATTTCCGCATCTGTAAAATGGGGAGAAGAACAGTACCTACCTCAGAGGCTGAGATGAAGAGCAGACAACTGAAGGTACCCATTGACTGGGGAGCCTGAGGCTTCCCTCCTCCCCTCCCCACATCAAGATGAACTTCAGTCAAGCAAAAGGAACTTGGAAGAGATCAGAGCCAGGTGGGAGGTGGAGAGAAGTCCCTTGAGGGACAAGGTCACCTGGAGGGGAGGAAGCACCCTTGAAGGGTGGTCTACCCCTGTTTGTGGCCATGTGGTCCTCTGCCTTGTGGAGCCTGGGTTTGGGCCCCTCCCTGAAACACAATTCAGCAAGGATGGCTGAGACCCCTAGAAAAAGTGAGTTTATAGACCCCAAATACACAGACTTAGCTTTTTGAAAGAAAATTTATGGAACAGATAGGTTAAGGATTTAAAATAAACCTGATATCCTCTGAGATAGATAGAGAATATTGGAAACATGAAGGAAGAACAAGCAGTGTTAGAGAGGAACCAAGAAGACATACCAGTGTGAAAAACAGAGAAGTTACAATAAAGAACCCGAGAGATGGGATAACTGGCAGAGTAAGAACAACCCAGGAAAGAAACAAGTGGAAGATGAGAGTGGGGAACTTTCCCCGGGGGTGGCAGAAAGGAATAAAGAGATGGAAAATGTCGAGGAAAAGCTAAAAGATGGCAAGGCTGGAAGCAGATGTGTCCAAGTCTGAACAACAGGAGTTTAGGGAAAAAGAAAAGTAAGAGGTGAGGAGGAAATCCCTCAGAAAAATACCTTGATTTCCCCAGAATTAAAGATGAAAAACCTCAGAAGGAAATGGCTCATAAGAATGCCAGACAGATTAGGGGAGACCCACACTGACACATTGTGTTTGATGTCATTAGATTTCTCTACAAATAGAAAATTCTAATAGCTTCTAGATAGAATTGATTACTCACAAAGGGACAACACTCAGATTAACTTAAAACTTTTCAGAAGCAACAATGAAGCAAAAAGCCCATGGATATTATTTTGTTTTTAAGGAAAAGAACTTCAACCCTAGAATTTTGTATCCAGCTAAACTCTCATTTAAAAGTGAGGGCACAGGGGCCCGCCCGGTGGCGCAGAGGTTAAGTGCGCGTGCTCCACTTCAGCGGCGCGGAGTTTGCAGGTTTGGATCCCGGGCGTGCACCGACACACCACTCGTCAAGCCATGCTATGGTGGTGTCCCATATAAAGTGGAGGAAGATGGGCACGGATGTTAGTCCAGGGCCAGTCTTCCTCAGCAAAAAGAGGAGGATTGGCAACAGATGTTAGCTTAGGGCTGATCTTCCTCACACACAAAAAAATGTATTTTGAGGGCACCATACATTTTTAAGCCTACAGGTCTCAGAAGGTTTCCCCATAAACACTCTTGAGAAGGCATGTCAATACAAAGAGAAATAAATCCAGGAGGACACGGTAAATAAATGATTTAGTGAAGTTGATTGTAGACTAAAAAAAAGGAATGGCAAAACCCAAGAAGTATAACCCAAAAATCTAGAGTCCAGAACTGAAGCTCCACTAACACCTAATGTGGCCAAGGTGGTGAGGAGGACTAGAGGGGAAGGACGGGAGGGTGGGGGGCCAGATACAGATATTGAGGAATATAAGACACTGATAGATATGGAAAAGAGAACTTGAGTATGGGTCTAAATCAGTTAGGAATAGCCACTAGAAAAATAAAAATAGAACGCATGACTTGCAACCAGCAGAAAAAATTTAAACTTTCCAATGCACAGCAAGAACTGAGGCAAAAAAGAAAAGTAAATGGAAAACATGAAATAAGATGGCAGAAATTTAACTCTGATAAAACAGTAATTATAACAAATGTAAATCAATAAATCATTGATCAAAAGTCAGACTCTGGAATGAATGAAATCTAGATGCATACATATACATAGACATACACATAGACGTATACAGATATATAGAGATATATAGGTGTATCTATCTGTCCCAACCAAACAGAAAGCAAGTTGTTTCAGAATTATTAGCTGGAAAGGTCACAGCTCTGATCTGTGCACACCTCCAAGACCGAGGGAACAACTTGTACAATAGAACCAGCTGCAGGATGCTCAGCTGTCAACACTGTCGTCAACAAAGAGCGTTTCCCTGGGACCACAAGCTCCCCAATGAGTTTTCTAGTTTGATAACCCAATCCTAGCCCTAACTCGGGACTTAGGGTATTATACTCATTCAGCTCCTTACCAATAAGACCCAGGGTGAGCAAGTAGGGGTGACCAACAGGAAGAACTTGAAAAACAGAACTGTTTTTCTGGCTGGCAGGACACTACGATGTTCCTGTGCCTTGGGGACCCGTGTGGTCATTTACAGGCTCTCAGCACCCTCAGGAGATGGCTCTGGGAAAACTAAGCCTATTCAGTCTAGGTTCCTAGGAGCCAAGGATAGTTAAAACCAGCCAACTTGGAGCCAGAGATTTAGGAAGATAAAATATCTCTGGAAAACTTTGTGTCAGCAGCGTGTTGGTCACACAATAAGAAAGAAGGAGACAGCTCGAGCCTCTCCTCAGAGCACTGAGTAGGCTTCTTTATTCTAACACTTGACATCCTTTCATAAATGGGCTGCAATCTGCTGACCTGTGGGCTAGATTTCTGCTTTCTCTGGAAAAACTGAAGGATCTAATAATAATGGGCCCACAGGCCCCTGTGGGAACAGATGACCTACGGTGAGTGGTGGCTGCCCCTTGAGAGGAACCATGTGCCACTAGTTTGCCACATTCAGGCTGTTTCACTAATTTACCTTCCTGGCATTTCGGTTGCGACTTCCCTTTTAGTAACAATTTTTAAGAATGTCTGTCTCCATAACATGTTTTAGATCCTTGTGAAACTAACACCTTGGGTGTTGCCTAGTAAATAATTTTTGGAATAAAGATAATTTCTAATAGCCTGATGTATGGGTACTTAGATCTCAAGCTTTAGTAAATTATCGCTAACTTAAAAGGAATTATTTTAATAGTGGATAAAGAAAGGGTAGAGAATGTCTGCAAAAGTTATTAGTGTTAGACAAATGAGAGATTGACACTGATCATTTACTTAAGCTCCAACAATTGCTTCAACCGAATTTCAAGGAATGCCTGACTTTTTGGCTCAATTACTGGGATCAGCAGGAGGTTCTGCATTGTTACAGTCACAAGGCATGCTCACAGTTGCTCAGATGGGTGGGGTGAGGACACAGGACAGCTGTTGCTGTCTCCCTCCCGTCTCATCTACTTTAATATGCCATTCACAGCCGAATAAAAGAGGCTCCGGACATTCCCCGTCAACATTAATTACCTACAGTGCATTGGGAGCTGAAAGTGTAATTAGCTTTTTGCTAATAAACAACTTAAGGCAGGGCCAATTAATTTTAAAGCAGAGCTTCTTATAAAATTATTGAATGTGACTCTGGTAACCTTGGGGGTAAACAAAGGGTCAGGGAGCAGCCAGACACTTGACATTATTTAATGTAAAGCTTCCCTATTCTTAATACTTGACACGAGTTCTAGCATAAGATTTTTGGAGGAGATAAAAGTTCTCCGAGTTAAAAAAATGACCAAAGACTCTGACTAGATACTTCACCAAGAAGATATCCAATTGGCCAATAAGCATATGAAAAAGAGCCCTAATCTTTACACAGCAGGGAAATGCTAATTAAAACAGCAATTAGCTATCAATCACTTCATGTGTATTGGTGAGGATGTGCAGTAACTGGAACTCTCACACATTGCCGGGAGACTGTCGGTTGGTTCAAACACTTGGAAACCTTACAGTATCCACTAAAGTAAAAAAATACATCTCTCCAATGATCCAGCAATTCCACTCCTAGGTACACACCCAAGGGAAATGAGCACATATGTGCACCAAAAGGCACATATAAGAATGTTTACAAGCACCTTTATTCATAATAGCCCCAAACTGGAAATAACCAAATATCCAACAACTGTAGAATAAATAAATAGAAGCCGAGATAATCATATTGTAGAATATTACACACCAATAAAAAAGAAATGACCAAAAGGATAAACCTCTAAGACATTTTGTTGAATAAAAAGTCAGACATGAAACAGTTTATACTATGTGATTCCATTTATATGAAGTTCAAGAATGGGTAAAACTAATCAATGTAAAAGAAGTCAGGATCAGTGGTTACCCAAGAAGGAGGGAGATACTGACTGGGAAGGAGCATGATGGAACTTTCTGGGGCACTGGAAATGTTCTATATCTTTACCTGGATCATGGTTATGTGGGCGTATACATAATGTAAAAATTCAAAAAGCTGTACACTTAAGAGGTACACACTTGACGTAAATTACACCTAAATGGGGAAAAAAAACACAGAAAGTAAAATTAAAAATGTAAGCTTAGCTGATGAATACTAACTGGAGATAATCTGGCCTCAGGCCCTTTTTTAGCCTATCTCCTGATCAGCCCTCTCTTGGCATCAGGTGTCTAATGGCCCAGACTGCCAACTTCAGGGCACTAGAGACTCACAAGCCTTATCATCCCGTTTTATAGATGAGAAGACAGGCTCAGAGAGGTGAGGCAACATATCCAAGAACATATAACTGGTAAATGGAGGAGCTGGTCTGATCACGGGCCACTGATGCCAGAGTCTAATTCCTTAACCCTACCACTATGCCTCGCCTCACAGGAACCAACAAATGTTTGTTGAATGAATGAACGACCGAGGTAATAATAAACATATCCTTACCTCTTTGGCTTCATTTTGTGCTTTCATATTTTCAGCAATATACTTGACACTTTGGATAGCTTCTTTGATTTCTGGTGACAAAGCAGAGAGGGGCAGCACAGCATCAACAGATTCAGAACTGGAGCTTCTCGTGAGGTTGGCACTGAAATTTGAGATTTTTATCCTGCGGTGGTGACAGTAGCCGCACATCCCGTCCTGGCAGGGATGGCCTTCCTTGCAGCCTTTGGACTCTGGGCGGCTGAAGCAATTCAGATTTGAGAGCTCAGCACTGTAGAAGGGTCTTGGCTTCTGAGAGCTGCCCTCGTTGCTTGCTGGCCTGGTCATGAACATGACCCTGGGAAGCAAGTTCAAGAATATGGTCTTCACCCACGTGGGCATCGTGTGTGTGGTCGGGGTTCTGTAGTGCACGTTGAGGACAAAGACAGTGATGACGATGGACAAGGTTACAAAAATCATGGTGAACAGGAGGTACTCACCGATCAGGGGAATTACCAGCGAGGTGGATGGGATCGTCTCAGTGATCACCAGGAGAAACACGGTCAAGGAGAGGAGGACTGAGATGCAGAGGGTCACCTTCTCACCGCAGTCGGAGGGCAGGTAGAAGACGAGCACGGTCAGGAAGGAGATGAGCAGGCAGGGGATGATGAGGTTGATGGTATAGAACAAGGGCAGGCGCCGGATGTACAGCGAGTACGTGATGTCTGGGTAGATCTCCTCGCAGCAGTTGTACTTGATGTCATGTTTGTAGCCTGGGGCTTTGATGATGGCCCACTCACCACTCTCCCAGTAGTCCTTGAGGTTCATGGAGGAGCCGATCAGGACCAGGTCAATCTTCGCTTTGTCGTAGGACCAGGAACCGAACTTCATGGTGCAATTTTGGTAATCAAATGGAAAGTAGGTCACGTCGATTTTGCATGAGCTCTTAAAGATGGCTGGAGGTATCCAGGTCACTTCCCCCGTGTACTTGAGTAAAGCTTTGGTCTTGTCCTCCACCTGGAAATCCCCAACAGCACTGCAAAGACAAAGAGATGTCCAGCTTCTCACACCGCCCCAGGTAAATGGCAAGTAACGATTTGTAAAACTGTGGAATATGTGAGCTCAAAGTGCCATAAAAGGTCACCAGTTCACCACCCCATTTACCAATGGGGATACTGAGGCCCAAGACTCCCCTCCGCCAACAATCTGACATACTCATCACACCCTGGGGCATGTCGCTGGTTCATTCCACAACATACAACTGCCGACTTGATACTTATTGAGACACTCCCAAATGCCTGAAAAGGAATTCTTCCCCCTTTAATTAAAGAAATGGGAATGCAAGTTGTCAACCTGGAGGCAGGTGTTTCGGTGACCTTTGGGGAGATTTGCCACTCACTCTCCCTATGGTTTGGACCTGGTTAATGCCTCCTCATTCAGTCTCCATTGGGCGCCTAATGTGTATACACGTATGTGTGTGAAACCAGACTGTGCAGCTGGGGGAGGCTGCAGAGACCACCGTGGGAGCCCACTCCCATTAAACTGAACACTGTTAGATGAGTTTATTACCAGACCATATCTCTGGATCCTGACTCCACCATTCACCACACTCCCCATCCCAGCGCTGTTTTAGAATGAATAATCATGTTTTCTGATTTCTTGCCTCTCAAATCTAGCATGACAAGTTCCTTCACCTTCTGTTTCTCTGTCTTTCCCTATATTCTCCCCACCTTTCTTCTCCCTTCCTTTTAGTTATATGCACCCTGACTTTCTTTTTACAAACAGATATACATTTTTCTTAGAATCATCTTGTTGGTATTTGTAAGCTGGTTTGTTCAACAGAAGATGTGCTGATGACCAACTCAACACTCTGTCGAGTTGCGTCTGAGAGTGAGGCCTTTCGGTCCTCACAATGCCTTGCCCCGTGAAGGCTTTGACATATCCTTGGCCCAGCCCTATTAGATTTCTTAGAGTTCTGCATTTGAAGGCATTCCTGTCCTTCAAAAGGGAACCACCACCATACCCTTTTGCCTGAAGAGCTGAAAAAAATAACAAACCTAAACATTTAGAAATATCCTTGTGTGGCTGTTGTTATTGGACAGGAACATGTGAAAACAGAAGGGGAACATGCCTGGCGCATGTCTCCTTGCTAGTCTCTGGCCCTCTGGCATAGAGGCACCCTCATGTTCCTCTGTTGAGCAGGACAATCATTCCATGTAATGACTTGATGCCAAAGCCACTACCTATCTTTACTCCAGTTGGCTGGTTTGTCCCAAAGGTGCCCTGCTGGGTTTATACATTCTTAGCCCCCACTTCACTCCTACTGTGCCCTCAATTCCCCACAAGAAGATTATTCCTGGCTCCTGGCTCCAGGAAGAAAGGAGAAGTGGGGTGGGGGTAGGGATCCACACAGCCCCCAAGAGGATGTGACCCATGTTCACGCGAGGAGTGTCTATGAGGACTGGCCTACACAGGGTTGAAAAGACCCTTGGGAAGACAAATGCCTCCAGAACAACTTTCTTTACAGCATCCTGGATCAACAAAATGTCAGAATAGTAAGGGACCTTCAGAGCCCAGGGTCTAGTCCAGGAATTGGCAAACTATGGCCCATAAGCCTGCCCCCTATTTCTGTAGATAAATTTTTATTGGAACACACAGACATACCCGTTTGTTATCTCTTGTCTAAGTCTACTTTTGAGCTACAAGGGCAGAGTTGAGTAGCTGTGACAGACTGTATGGCCCACAAAGCCTAAAATATTTACTACCTGGCCCTTTACAGAAAAAGTTTGTCAACCCCTGCTCTGGTCCAATCCCTTCATTTTACTGAAGAGGACACTGAAGGTGAGAGAACAGGACTGACTTGCTCAGGGTCCCACAGAGAGTTTGTGGCAGAGCCTTGGCCAATCAGAACTTGGGTCCCCAAGTGAGGAGTCGCAGAACCGCCTGTGTGCCCAAAGGCCAAACACTGGAGATAAGTTCATCTTGTTGCTGGGGCCCATTTCTGCTATTTTCCAGAGATCCTGATCACTGTGGCTGCTGCCTGCAGAACCCCTCGGCTGTGTCTGCCCAGACCAGAAGGACTGTTTGCTGACCAGGGCAATGTCAGCAGCCTATCTCTGCCACCGGGATTAGAGAAGATGAAGACCTAGCTGGGGACAGGGGTCTGACACAGCACCAGCTACATAGAGGGCACTCGGTGAGTATTTATTTGACTGAAAGAACAACTAGAAAATAAATGAAGGTCTCACCCCTACAGGGTGCCCAAGAGATGGCTGGCAGCAAGGGAGAGCAGAGGTGGGAGGGGTCTGAGCCAACGTGTTGCTGAACCCTGTGAGTTGATTAAAAAAAGAAAACGCATGGTGGGTGCAAATGATTAGCTGAGGTATCACTTTAATAGAAGGAAAGATTGAGAACTTAAGTGGGGTGAGGGTGGCAAGTGGTATGAGAAGATTAGGATGGCATCGGTTTTTTTAATCTCTCCAAATTCCCTCAGAAAAACAGGGCAATGAGGACAGCAAAAGAAAAAGCCTCCTGACCACACAGTCAACATCATTAGGTTACATGGAACCCCGTGAACCTCAGAATATGAGAGTGTGGGGTCAAACCACCAATGCCAGCAGGACCTGCGTGGGACCGTGTGGGATTAGCTACTGGTGGAGGTGGCCAAGGGAAGAGAAAGGGGAGTTCGCATGTCCTAAGAGCCCCAGGCATAGAAACACCAAGACGTATCTGCCCCTCAAAAAAGAGGACCCCACTCTGTGTTGAATCCTCAGCAAGGGAAACAGTGAAAGAGAGAGGGCTCCACAGCTTCCAATTTGTGGGAGAGAACAAACAAAGATGGCGGGAATCCACTGAGGGTCTGCAGAGAAGTCAGTCAGGGCTAGTGTGGGCTCTCGAGGATCTCAGAAATACCTCCCCACCAGCCC